CACAGATTTGCCAAAAGAAGTTTGTATGAGAATAAATGAAGAATTGGTTAAAGTAAATGGTTCATGGACTAACAAAAAAGTAAGAGACTACTGGTATTACCATGTTAAAAAAAAATCTAAAAATGCCAGAGAATCATTAATTTAAAATATTTAAATAAAATTAATAAATAATAATGTATATCGTTTTTTGCTTTTAATATCTTCCCCAAAAAAATAAAATGCCTAATAAATATATATTTTCAAAAGCTAATATTATACTCTACCTGTTAATGTTAAAAAGATCCCAATGAGTCTTCTCCCTGAAAAGGATGGTGGTTCCGAAGACAAAAAGTATGTGCCTTTTCGAATAATTATTTCTCTTGAACGAAAAAAGCTAATGAAGTATAAAAGATTGTGATTGAAAGAGCGAAACTATGAAAATATGTTTACATAGAGACATGAAGGATGTTTGATCATGCTTTTTTGTTCATTTTTGGTTTTAAAGTCTGTTGTACAGAAAAGTACTATGTCGATCGCTATAACAAAATCACTCATTGTGACATCACGTATGACTGGTATCTTTTGAATTAATAACTCTCATAAGTGGTGGGGGTAAGAGAGCTATATGCAGGTTACACAATAACATATGATAGTACAGTCAAACCTCGTTTCAACGGATCTATGGGACTGACCACCTAAATCCGTTGAAACGAAAAATCCGTTGAAACGAGATAATTATTACTAAAATCCTACCAAAAAATCCGTTGTCCGTTGAAACGCGATTTAAATATAAATATAAAATCCGTTGAAACGAGAATTTTTTAATTATTAAAATCAAGGGGTAAAACCAAAAATCTGTTGAAACGAGGGTTCGACTGTAGATTTTGATAGTTATCATTCATCTCAGGGATGATAATAACAACGCAATCATTTTTGTAACACTTGAAAATTCCTTTTTTAAACAAAATTCTATATGAAAAATGACCGAAAAATGACCGAAAATCCCCTTTTTAAAGCTAAATACGTCGCACTAAATTAAATTCGTCATATTCTTTGTTTAAAAAATTTAAAACTAAAATAAATAATAGATAAAATAAATAAAAATAATAATATAAATAATATTACTCTGGATTTTCAGGGTTATTGATCTGTGAATTAAAGTCAAATTTGCATTCTGGTGACATCACCTCCGCTCCAGCATTGAACTCCTGCGAAACAGGAAAAGTAAAATCTCTCAATAAATCATCTAAGAGCAATGAAGTTTCTAATCATTCAGCTACAATTGCTCTACTCCTACCATTCATTTTTCGAAATTTCCATCTGTCATTTCCAGAAGGTTTCGAGGACGTAATTTTTGTAGTGATAAGTAGGATAATCCTACTGTATTGAATAACACTACAGTTTTCTTTGCCAAATTAACGAGTTTTCCGCTCTTGTTGTAGTTACAATGGCATTTTTGATGAATTTTCTTTCTTATGGTTGCAGGATATTCTTCAATAAGTCTTCCAAGAAGATAATAATACTCAAAAGTAGTATTATTTCTTGTAACCTTTAACTTACTCAGAATAGTTGTCAACTGTTTTTCTTCATCTCCATCGATTTTGGGTAATTCTTTTTCATCATCTCTTGGTACTCTGAACTCATCTAAATATTGGTGGGCTGTTGAGATGATGTTATTTCTAAATCCTGTTTTTCTCCATCCTTTCTGATTTTAACCCTTCTTCTGAAACAACTAACTCTTCTCCTCCTGGCATCTTCTTGACTAATCGTAATGATTGATTTTGGAGCGTTTGAGTGAGATAAATCCAACTTGTGTAATCAATCAGTTTTTTAAAATCTCTATTTTTATAACAAATTCAAAATCAAAAATAAAACTGTCATAAAAAATCTTCTTTCAAATCAATAGAGGCTCTCTATCTCAAGCTACAGTCAACCCCTCTAAGTGCACCACCCCCTGGGAATGAGTAAGAGTGTGCATTTAGGGGATAAAGGAGGATAAACCCTGAAGTGTTAAAAAATAATGTTGGAAAGTCAAAGGATGATAAGAGATTATTAGAACAGGTGTGGTAGATGGAACTTTATAGAACTATCTATAGCTGTCTATCTGATGAAATTCACTTGTCATCAAATGTTGGACACATATAAAACGGATGGACTCGTTGATTTTTATATTGCTGAGCTGAGCTGGGCAATTGAATTGCTCATTGATGGGTCGAGATGAAGGAACACCATGGACGTTTCCAGAATGATATGTGAGTGCATATGTGGATATATAATGTGTAATATGTGGGTTCTATTTAATTTTATATCCATATAATTTGCATATGTTTACCTTTTATTTAGGTGGAAGATATTCTTCAATCACATCTTATTATTTGACTTCTAGCAGAATAATAAGAGAGTGAATAAATCCTACACTAATACATGGCATGTAATGTTCAAATCCTAACTCTATGGTTTTTAATGTGTTGTCTGACACAAAATTCCAATTCAAAGGAAAATCAGTGGTCATCCTGAATCAAGTAGATATTTGAACATTAATGACAGAAAAAATAAGCGAAATTTTGAGAACAAAGAGAACATTGATTTAGGAAATGAATCACTACTATCATTAGAAGAGGATATTAATACTTAGCATTAAACCTAAAAAAATAATACTGATGGTGAGCAAAGAAGAACTTATTGAAATAGTAATGAAAATATTTTCATTGTTTATTTATTTAATTAACATCATTGATTTCTATTTATTTCTTATGAGAATGATTAATGGTTGGTATTTAAATATGCTAAAAATAGAGATTTAGAAAATAATTTAACAAAAAATTTTAAAAAATTACTTGGAAAAATAAGATTGAAAGATAGACTTTTAATAGATTCATAAATATTTAGTAAAATGGTTATATTTTTTAATTACAAATGATGAGAAAAATTACATTTATCATAATTTGCACAGTGGCAATATTTTTTCATACTCTCAATATAGGAGATTTGGGATTGTGTTGTGAAAAATGTCTCACATGTGTCCAAATAAAGTTAAAAGATAACAAATGGAGCATTATAAAACTGTTAAATTATAATTACAATACAATTGTAATAACAATGACTAAATTTTGATCCCTGAAATCCTTGGTAATACCAATGTTCACTTTGTCTGGTTTTGTTGCAGCATGCCCCATATCTGCTTTTTTATATATATTACCTCAGGTGCCAAATATGGCACAACACCATAAATTTCATTTGGACTATCTTTTTTCATTTAATTGTTGACATAATCCTAAATCACCAATTCTACTAGAACCTTTAGTATACCATTATGGAAGTCTTGATGAATGTAATTTCTTACGAACATTCGTTAATCTAAAATATAATAATAAAATACTATATTTTATATATATATATAAAGTAAAAATATTTATTATTTGACAAATGAAAATGAAAGTTACTTACCTTGTGAACTACAAGTTCACACTCTCTATAACGAACACTAAATAAATTTCACTTGGATTTTGTCACCAATTCAATTTTTTATAATTAACTTCTCTCCATATAATGAACAAAAGCAGAAAAAATTACATATAGAGATGGAAGGTTTGTTATAGAGAGAGTGAACTTTGTATATAGAATAAATAATTATGATATCATTTTCAGCAGCAGTCAAAGTAATCATTTGTTTCTGATCCCTTGTAACTCCAAAATATTTGACAACAAAGATAATTGGCTTTTAACTATTAAATAAATAAATTTTACCATTATTATTTTATATATTTTAATGATTTAAAATCGATTAATAATTATTACCTCTTTTAAAATACCTAATTTTTTTAATACAATTATTTTTTTCTTCATAATTCTTATTACAGTATTAATAATTAGAAATTTTAAATTTATGTGATCACACTTTATTTTGCTTTCATAAGAAATTTTACCAATTCCTTTATCTCGATTTTTTTCCTTTACAGCCATTACATAATATTCATTCCATAATACCAATGTTCACTTTGTCTGGTTTTGTTGCAGCATGCCCCATATCTGCTTTTTTATATATATTACCTCAGGTGCCAAATATGGCACAACACCATAAATTTCATTTGGACTATCTTTTTTCATTTAATTGTTGACATAATCCTAAATCACCAATTCTACTAGAACCTTTAGTATACCATTATGGAAGTCTTGATGAATGTAATTTCTTACGAACATTCGTTAATCTAAAATATAATAATAAAATACTATATTTTATATATATATATAAAGTAAAAATATTTATTATTTGACAAATGAAAATGAAAGTTACTTACCTTGTGAACTACAAGTTCACACTCTCTATAACGAACACTAAATAAATTTCACTTGGATTTTGTCACCAATTCAATTTTTTATAATTAACTTCTCTCCATATAATGAACAAAAGCAGAAAAAATTACATATAGAGATGGAAGGTTTGTTATAGAGAGAGTGAACTTTGTATATAGAATAAATAATTATGATATCATTTTCAGCAGCAGTCAAAGTAATCATTTGTTTCTGATCCCTTGTAACTCCAAAATATTTGACAACAAAGATAATTGGCTTTTAACTATTAAATAAATAAATTTTACCATTATTATTTTATATATTTTAATGATTTAAAATCGATTAATAATTATTACCTCTTTTAAAATACCTAATTTTTTTAATACAATTATTTTTTTCTTCATAATTCTTATTACAGTATTAATAATTAGAAATTTTAAATTTATGTGATCACACTTTATTTTGCTTTCATAAGAAATTTTACCAATTCCTTTATCTCGATTTTTTTCCTTTACAGCCATTACATAATATTCATTCCATGTTTCAAAAGCTAATTTATTAATTGTTTATTACTTTTATTCATTTAAAGGTTAAAAAATTTCAAATATCCAAAAATGACACTAACCTCGTTATCATGAACCATTTCCTTTAGGCCGATTCATCAGATATGAATGATTTTGAAATATTTTTAATAATAAAAACCTTCTAACCATTCGCTTATTTTAAAATAATTATATTAGTAAAAATGTCATCATCCAAGGAATTTCAACCAATTAAATTTTTACATTATCTCGATTTAGAATAATCAAAATTTATTTATTATCTTTATTTATTCAAAAAATCCCAAGAAAAAAATTTTAACTTTAAATAAAATTATATTTTAAAGAAAAAAAAAAAAAATGGCAACTACAGTAAATAATAATAATAATAGTAATGGTAATTTTCAACACAATCCACCAAGTGTTTATCAACCTAATCCATATCCATTAAATCCACTGGAAGGTAATCCTTGGTCCGCGACGCCTACTGAACAACCATACACTTCAACTTATCAACATCCTACAAAACCTCAAGACTCTTCCACTTCTTCTTCTTCTTCATATAATTATCAGCATGGATATAATAATAGTAGTTCTGACGACTCATCATATCAATCAGCTCCAACATCCATGCCCATGCCAAATTCTTATTTCCCAACCAGTAACCTTTCAACAGCACCGCCGCCAATGCCACCTCCACCACTTCATCACAATCAACATCACCGTCAAGAAACACACGAGGATGGTGACGATGGTAGTGATGATGATAGTGAAAGAGGAGCAGGAAACACATTTGATTTGGGAGATTCTTTCACAGCAAATCCTGGAATAACAGGTCATGACCCATCAAAATTGAATACGCATTTAGATGATTATAACACACGTAAAAGACCTAGTATATATCGATTTATTGCAAGATTTATTCAATTAATAGCAAATATTGGAACTTTTGTCTTTATACTTTGCGCACCTATCGTAAGTTTTTTTATTAATCAATCGATCAATCAATCAATCAATTAATAATAGAAGTTTAGAAAATCAATTAATTCCTTAAATTTTTGTTTGTTTCCTTTTTCATAAAAAAAAGTATTCAAAACAAGGTAAACCGGATTTCATTCCGCAAAATTTAGTCGTTGGCATATATATTGTCTCAATTGTATCAATATTGGTATCACTTGGCTATTTGATATTTTACGGTGTTAGAAGATTTCGTACCAAGACTAAAAAGCTTTCTCGTTGGATCTTGCTTTTAGTTGATGGTATTTTTGGAGCAAGTTATGGATTGTTGATGGTATTTTCAATAAAAGATACTAGATGTGGAATTGGTCAAGAAAATGGATGGTAATTATTATATAATGATAATGGGGTGGGGGAGTTTTTTTTGGGAAGTTGTATATTGTTTTATTTGATTATATTACTAACTAATTTTTGTTTTAGGTGTGATTTTTATAATACAACAATTTTCTTTATCGTTTTTTCATTTGTTATGTTTGCATTGGCTTTCATTTGGGATTTTACTGGAAGTTTTGTAATAATTAGTGAGACAAGAAAAACAAAGAAGAGAAATAAACTTATTGCTAAAAGTAAAAATGATAAGGATAAGGAGGGTAATGATAATAATGATCATTAATAAAGTTGATGAGATTGAGGATGTTGTAAATATTATAAAGAAAATTTAATTATTATTAATTAGTTAGTTTCATTAATATATTATATAAAACATTTAATTTAATATCTATGTTATTAATTTACTACCATTGTATCAATAGTTGATATGGAAAAATCATTTCTCTCTATTTTTTGTTTTTTTAATTAGCATTTTTGTTTTGTAATGACACGGTTAAAAAAAAATTTATAAAACTTGTCAATTTCTTATTAAAATAATGAAGTTTTGGAAGTTAACGATGTTTGATAACGTTTGAATAATTAAAGGATAATTATGATGAATATTTGTCGCGTTAATAATTTTAATTGGATCTTTTAAATTTTAACAATAGTAATGATAGCAATAATCATTTGTTGTTATCGTTGTGTTATTTTATCAAATTTCTTATTTACTGCTGTTGCTACATTCTAATGACCGGCAAGAATTAATTTCAGATCTGTCAAAAAAATTTGTAAATATTGTTGCGAAGATGCAAGTTTTATGCATATAACAGTAGCAGTAATAGTTATTGAATAATAATGATGTTTATAATAGGTGGATTATTAACAGTAATAGGTAGTGGATCATGTTCAATAATGTGAGGACAGCTTACTGAACGTAAGTATGGTTAAGACCTATCGTATATAGCTTGCTGCGTCAGGGAATGAAGCAACGCGATTGCATCAGAATACAAAAGTAATGCAGTCTGCATAATGGAGCATGGGACAACGTTGCTTGCTATCAGAGAACAACCAAGATACGTTGTTGCAAGAGTAGTCTAGATTTCCATGAACGTATCTGGTAATTGCGGGAGAAGTGGGAACAACCACAGAATTACCAAGGAGATGTTTCACTTTACTTCTTCAAGAATTCACTTAGACTCGAAAAGCAACTTTAATTACCCAGTTTATCGGACTCATTTATCGATTCGAGGTTGATAATTGAAAGATTGCAACTTTATGCCAGTAGTGCTTTACCTTCAGGCTTTATTGACATGTGACAAACCAGTTTTACGACTGATACTTTCCTTTCAACGGAATAAATTCATCTCATGTTTGCATATTTGCAAGTATTTTTTAATTAGCATTTCTACGAATAATCATGTGATTAGAATCTAAATGGCTCGAGTATTTAATTATTAGTAATGGAACTGGTTTGGTTTTTTAAATCATTCCAAAATAAAATTTATTGATTAGTTGAGCTAACATATTAATACAAGCACTTGTTAATTAATTTATAAATAAATTCTGGATTGTTATTCTAAAAAGAATGGATCTTGAGAATAATAGTAATAGTGGCGAGTCATTAATTAATGAAGATGTTGAGTCTTTGAATAGTAATAACAACGAAACAATTTAAGCCAGTTGATTGATTAAGATAACTTTTTATATCACTAGAGTAGCTCTATTTATTATTATTTTCAGAGTATTCTTTATTGTCTCCGAGCAATTTGGGCATACCCACTTCTTGTTTCAGATCTTTTCGCATTTAAAATTCTAGTTTGTTTATCTTTGAAAAAACCATCGAGTTGAGATAGTAGGTTCACGATCTTTAAAACAATTGATTTCTTTAATCATAAAGACACTAAATAACCATAAATTATTGGGGTGTGCGACATTCTAAGAAAATCAAAACTAATTAATGTCATATATTGATTGGTTATATGTGATTTTTTTTTGTGATCTGCATATCATATACAGAATTAGTGTTTGTATTCATGATATTCAAATATCATAAAACGATCAACATGATATCCGAATATCATGAATATTATCCGAATATCATGAATATTATCCGAATATCATGAATATCATGAATATCATACCATATTGTGTAACTAAGACAATAAAAATTTATTAATAATTAATAATATATAGTCGTAATCAACCAAATTCTGAAATAATGTGCAAGGAATTAAAAGAAAGATGCCTGACGGTTTAAGAGAGAAGATTTACACAAGTCTGTTTGTCAATATTGGTTATTTATTTTATTAATATAATATGATTATGACATTTAAATGAATAAATAAATAAAAATACATATTAATATTGAAAATTTTTGATATCAAAAAAAATATTAAACAGATAATATATTGATTTCTTGTGAATTTCGTTTTAAGAATAAAAGTTTAGAGACAAAATCAGGTGAGAGTCTATTTCTATGGGGTGTTATATGATTTCCAACATCAGAAAACAAACGTTCTGAAGGAACTGATGTTGCACTCATACAAAGATATTTTCTTGCTAATTTTGACATTATAGGCAATTCATTTTTTCTTTCATTCCACCATAGAAAAGGGTCAACGGATCTTGATGCCACCGGTAAGTTAAAATATTTTTCAAATTCACCTTGTTCTGGCTCTTGCAGATTATCAAATAAATCATCAAAAACATTACTTTGTCCACCAATACTAATTCTTAATGGTAATCTTACACTTCTTGATTGAATGGAGCTGCTAATTTGTTGTTCTTCCTCTTGTTGTTGTTGCATTAATAGATTATACTCATCTTTTAACGAATTTTTGATTTCCTCACGTTCTCTATCACTTAAAAATTTTAGTGCTTTAAAACGTGGGTCTAAAGTTGATGCAAAAGCAGCTAGGGATGAAGGAGTTGACCAATAATTATTTAATGAATTATATATAGTTGAGATAACCTTTTCAAATAATCCTCTTGTTTCAACAGGTACTGATATATTAATTTTTTTTCTTCTTCTTTCCCCATTATCTTCTTCTAATAACTCTATTTCATCTTCTTCCATTTCTAGTAGTGTAGCTTCTTCACCACCACTTTCTTCTAAAAGTTCACTGCTATCTATTGGTTCAATATTTTCATTTTCAAATTCATCATTGTCATAATTTTCATCATTTATATAATATGTCACTAATTCTAAGAATTTTTTCTTTAGGAAAAATATCAGTGGTACAACTAAAGATAATGTTACGAAATCTCTACCACTGAGTGTTGTGGTTACTAAGTCAAATTGTTTAAGTGCTTCAGTAAGTTATTTAATTAATTCCCATTCACTTTCTGTTAATAATGATTTTTTGTAATTTTCTCCCACGTTTTCTAATTTCAGGATCACCATCCAGTATCATATGACTTTTTAAGATAATGATTGCTTTTTTGAGATTCAATAACCTCACCCATGAATTATAGGTACTATTCCAACGTGTGGCTACATCATGTATTGGTTTTAGATTTTTTGGATAATCTTCTCTTAATCTTCCTTGCACATTGAACAGTGCCTCCAACTATTTTGGAGAGTTGAAAAATAAGACAAGTTTTCTTGTCCTTAAAACCAATGCTTTAATCTTATTGTCACAGTTAAGTGCTTTTTTAACACAGAGTTGTAGAGTATGAGCTGCACAAGAAATTCTCTCGATCTTTAATGAATTTTTTAATAATCTAGATCCCAAAACCATATTACTATCATTATCAGTAGTAATAGCTGTAATTTTCCCCTCTAAATTCCACTTTAATATTTCTTCCTCTATTAGATATTTTATAACCAAGTTTGTATGTGGATGGGGAACGTGAAACAAGTTTAAAAGAGCTTCAACTGGTTCAAAATCTTCAGAGAGCCAGGAACAAGTTATACCCATCCTTTTTTCTGATGTGAAGCAGTCCAGAAATCTGTGGTCAAACAAGCAAATTGAAATTTATTAAAAAGTTTGATTTTAATTTCATCAAATGAAATACTGTATAGATGCATTATTGATTCCTTAATTAGATTTGTGTTTGGAATTTTGAACTGGGATTCAAAGATTGGATGAATTTTTGAAAGCTAGGACTTTTCAAAAATGTAGAAAGATACTGAATCTTTTATTAAGAACTCAATCAGGTTTTTTGTAATAAAATTGCTTTGAACATCAGTTAATGGTGAATTAGTTGTGTTTGCTTGAATTGCGTCCATGTTTGCACTCACAAACTATGGTTGTGTGTGATATAGAATGTTAGAATGTTATATTTAAATAAATTATGATTATAATACTTTACACAATTAAATTTAATCATAAATACCCTGTTTGCAGCTTTTGGATTTATTATACCATGTTGACTTAGTAAATGGTAAATGGTATTAGTGGTGGATCCTTTTGTAACCCTCATAGGAAAATAATGATTACAAGTCTCTCCATTCTCTTTTCGAACAATGCATTTCCATCCATCTGGTCTTAAATCTTCACAGTAATTCCAAATAAAGCTTTTTTTATTAGATGTGGTGGTGCTAGTAGAAGCTACTGAACTAATTTCTGTTGATGCTAAATTTTCTTGAGAATTATCTTCAATACAATATAATGACATTGTAAAATATTTTTATAAGGTAGGTTTTAACAATTAAAGATATTTTGAAAATTTTTGAAAAAAAATATTTATGATTTATTATATTTTTTATTTTTTTATTTTTTTAGACAATTTTTCAGCTATGTCAAAAACATCATCCTTTTATAACAATTTTAAAAATAGATAATGATTTTGATTGGTTCTCCCATTATACTGACATGTTGTTATAACAGAATAAATTCTATAATTCTAAAAAAAGTTGACAAATTATGTCATTATACTAGTATAACAGTCGCAGGACATTGCAGATCTACAGGGGGTCAAGTGTCACTCACTAATAAAAAATTTTTGATCAACACGGA